TTTTGGGGATTTTTTAGGGTTTTTTTGGGGATTTTTTAGGGGTTTTTTGGGATTTTTTAGGGGTTTTTTTGGATTTTTTTTTGAATTTTCCGGATTTTGGGGGATCTTTTTTTTTAGGATTTTTTTTATATTTTTCAGGCTTTTTTCAGGGATTTTCTGGATTTTTAGGGAATATTTTTAGGATTTTTGGGGGGGTTTGGGGGGTTTTTTGGGGGGATTTTCTGGATTTTTTAGGGATTTTTTTTTAGGGTTTTTTTTGGGAGTTTTTTAGGAATTTATGGATTTTTGGGGAATTTTTGGGGTTTTTTTTTAATATTTTGGGTTTTTTTCAGGGATTTTCTGGATTTTTTGGGGATTTTTTTAGGGTTTTTTGGGGATTTTTTTTGAGGAATTTTCTTGAGTTTTTGGGGAATTTTTTTAGGATTTTTTTTTTGATATTTTGGGATTTTTTTCAGGGATTTTCTTGATTTTTTGGGGATTTTTTTAGGGGGTTTTTTGGGATTTTTTTTTGAGGAATTTTCTGGATTTTTGGGAATTTTTTTTTAGGATTTTTTTTTTGATATTTTGGATTTTTTTCAGGGATTTTCTGGATTTTGGGGGGGATTTTTTTGTGATTTTTTGAGGAATTTTCTTGATTTTTGGGGAATTTTTTTGGGAAGTTTTGGGGAGATTTTTGGGGTAATTTCCTTGATTTTGAGGGGATTTTTTTTTCACAATTTTTAGATTTATTTTAAAAAAATATTTTGGAATATTTTGGGGATTTGGGGGGGGATTTATTTTTAAATTTTCTTGATTTTGGGGGGAATTTTTAAATTTTTTTTTTTTATATTTTAGGAGTTTTTTTGGGAATTTTGGAGGTGAATTTTTAGGAATTTTGAGGATTTTTTTTTTGGAAATTTTGGGGTTTTTTTCTTAATTTGGGGGGGATTTTTGATTGTTTTTTTCAAATTATTTTGGGGAGTTTTTTTTTTAATTTTCGGGTCAGAATTTTGGGGATTTTTTTGGGAATTTTTCTGGGATCACTCCCGGGTTTCCACTCCCAAATTTTTTCCCCATCATTCCCAGGGCATTCCTGTCCCTCTCAGCCTGTTATTCCCAGTTTTTCCCAGCTGTTCCCAGATTTTTCCTGTCACTCCCAGGTCGTTTTTCCCGGTTGTTCCCATCGCTCCCAGACCATTCCCAGATTTTTCCTGCCACTCCCAGACCATTCCCAGCACTCCGAGGCCATTCCCGTCACTCCCAGGTTGTTCCCGTCACCCCCATCCCCACAATTCCCACAAATCCCACAATTCCCGCGGTTCCCGCAATTCCCACAATTCCCGCGGTTCCCGCAATTCCCGCAATTCCCATTCCCCCGTTCTCATTCCTACAATTCCCACAATTCCGGCAATTCCCACAATTCCCAAACCCCCAAATCCCCACAATTCCCATTCCCAAAATTCCCACAATTCCCATCCTCATTCCCACAATTCTCACAATTCCCATTCCCAAACCCCCAAATCCCCAAATCCCAACAATTCCCAAATTCCCATCCCCAAACCCCCAAATTCCCATTCCCAAATCCCAACAATTCCCATTCCCAAACCCCCAAATCCCAACAATTCCCTCATTTCCCATTCCCAAATTCCCACAATTCCCACAATTCCCATCCCCAAAATTCCCAAATCCCAACAATTCCCACAATTCCCATCCCCAAACCCCCAAATTCCCTAAATCTCCACAATTCCCATCCCCATTCCCACAATTCCCACAGTTCTTATTCCCCAAATTCCCACAATTCCCATCCCCAAATTCCCACAATTCCCATCCCCAAATTCCCACAATTCCCATCCCCATTCCCACATTCCCACAATCCCCATTCCCACATTCCCACAATCCCCATTCCCACAATTCCCACAATCCCCATTCCCACAATTCCCACAATTCCCACAATTCCCAATCCCCAAAATTCCCACAATTCCCACAATTCCCATCCCCAAATCCCAACAATTCCCATTCCCACAATTCCCAAAACCCCCCAAATCCCCACAAAACCCACCCAAGAACCTTCCAGAACCCCAAATCCCCACAAAACCCACCCAAGAACCTTCCAGAACCCCAAATCCCCACAAAACCCACCCAAGAACCTTCCAGAACCCCAAATCCCCACAAAACCCACCCAAGAACCTTCCAGAACCCCAAATCCCCACAAAACCCACCCAAGAACCTTCCAGAACCCCAAATCCCCACAAAACCCACCCAAGAACCTTCCAGAACCCCAAATCCCCACAAAACCCACCCAAGAACCTTCCAGAACCCCAAATCCCCACAAAACCCACCCAAGAACCTTCCAGAACCCCAAATCCCCACAAAACCCACCCAAGAACCTTCCAGAACCCCAAATCCCCACAAAACCCACCCAAGAACCTTCCAGAACCCCAAATCCCCACAAAACCCACCCAAGAACCTTCCAGAACCCCAAATCCCCACAAAACCCACCCAAGAACCTTCCAGAACCCCAAATCCCCACAAAACCCACCCAAGAACCTTCCAGAACCCCAAATCCCCACAAAACCCACCCAAGAACCTTCCAGAACCCCAAATCCCCACAAAACCCACCCAAGAACCTTCCAGAACCCCAAATCCCCACAAAACCCACCCAAGAACCTTCCAGAACCCCAAATCCCCACAAAACCCACCCAAGAACCTTCCAGAACCCCAAATCCCCACAAAACCCACCCAAGAACCTTCCAGAACCCCAAATCCCCACAAAACCCACCCAAGAACCTTCCAGAACCCCAAATCCCCACAAAACCCACCCAAGAACCTTCCAGAACCCCAAATCCCCACAAAACCCACCCAAGAACCTTCCAGAACCCCGTCACCGACCCCCTTTTCCGGGAATTCCCAGCTTTCCTACGGCTCCAGCTCGCCGGCCCTTTCCAACCGGCAGCGATTCCCGACGTTTTTCCGGACGCATCCGTCGGCCACGCTCCACAACCCGACGCGAGTTCAGCTCTTCAAGAAGTGGGGCTGGACCAAGATCGCCACCATCCAGCAGACCACGGAGGTCTTCACCTCGGTTAGGGATTCCCGGCGAGAAAAAAAATCCCGGAATTCCACCGGAATTCCGGGGAAAAAATTCCGTCGGAATTGTGCGAAAAATTCCGGTGGAATTCTCAAAAAAAAAAATCTGGTGGAATTCCGTAGAAAATTCCGGTGGAATTCCCAAAATTGTGTTGGAATTCCGTAGAAAATTGTGTTGGAGTTCTGGAAAAAATTCCGTTGGAATTCCCAAAAAATTCTGGTGGAATTCCCAAAAAAATCCCATCAGAATTCCCAAAAAATCCCATTGGAATTCCACAAAAATTCCAGCTGAATTTCATAAAAAAATTCTATCAGAATTCCCAAAAAATTCCATTGGAATTCCCCAAAAAAAAAATCTGGTGGAATTCTGTGAAAAATTCCGTCAGAATTCCCAAAATTGTGTTGGAATTCCCGAAAAAATTCTTTTGGAATTGTGCAAAAAATTGTGTTGAATTCTGGAAAAAAATTCCATCGGAATTCCACAAAAAAATTCCATCAAAATTCCCCAAAAAATTCCATCAGAATTCCCAAAAAAATTTTTTGGTGTCTCCAACCCCATTTTTGGTGTCTCCAACCCCATTTTTGGTGTCTCCAAACTCCATTTTTGGTGTTTCCAAACCCCATTTTTGGTGTCTCCAACCCCATTTTTGGTGTCTCCAAACTCCATTTTTGGTGTTTCCAAACCCCATTTTTGGTGTCTCCAACTCCATTTTTGGTGTCTCCAACCCCATTTTTGGTGTCTCCAACCCCATTTTTGGTGTCTCCAACCCCATTTTTGGTGTCTCCAAACTCCATTTTTGGTGTCTCCAACCCCATTTTTGGTGTCTCCAACCCCATTTTTGGTGTCTCCAACCCCATCTTTGGTCCTCACCAGACCCTGGATGACCTCGACCAGCGGGTGAAGGAGGCCGGCTTGGAGATCACCTTCCGCCAGAGCTTCTTCTCCGACCCGGCCGCGCCCGTCCGGAACCTCAAGGTGAGACCTCAACCCCCACCCTGAGGTCCAACCCCACCCATGGGACCACCCTGAGGTCCAACCCCACCTTCAGAACCAACCCTGAGGTCCAATCCCACCTTCAGGACCACCCTGAGGTCCAACCCCACCCATGGGACCAGCCCAAGGTCCAACCCCACCCTCAAACCCCTCCCCAACCATGGTGGACCCCCAAAAATCCATCATGGTCAACCAGGAACGGCCAAAGCGGTGGGAGATGGACATGTAATTATGCAAATGAGGTGGGCGTGGCTTAACGAGCCGTCCAATCCCGCAGCGTCAGGACGCCCGGATCATCGTGGGGCTCTTCTACGAGACCGAGGCGAGGAAGGTCTTCTGTGAGGTGGGAACGGTGGGAATTGATGGATCACAGATGGATGGAGATGATGATGATGATGATGATGATGATGGTGATGGATCAATGGTGGGAATTGATGGATCACGGATGGATGGAGATGGATGGAGATGATGATGATGATGATGATGATGATGATGATGATGATGATGATG